CTCTGTCGTGGTGTTGTTTAGATATTTAAGAGAGTTATTGATGTTTGAGAAATCTGAAGGCTGTTCTACGGGATGAGCTCACTAAAAAGGGAAGACCAGAAAATGAAATGAAAAGAGAAGTGATGGATGTATTTGAACATAGCAACAATGGATATATGAAAGGTGAAATCAGGCAATTATAATGCATAAGTGTGGTAGTTATATAATCGTTTGTCAATTTGAGGATTAAGAGTGAAGGTGTGGAGTCTAGCCTGTCAATCAGGTGATAGCCAAGGAGGCCTCTGTGTGGCCATGGCCTTCTCCCGAGGATTCTGGGAACTCTCTCTGCTCACTCCCTGGGAGACATTGCAGTTGACAAGATACCTGGAACTACACTAGTGCCCTGAGCTGCAGGAATCACGTGGAGATCCCATGGAGACAGGTTAATGGCAGTAAGAGCCTCTAAGCTGAGGGAACCATGTGTAGACCCCTGGCATTGCTGAGATACCTCTACCTACACTGGATCCACAAGACTTCCCACCCACTGGCCTATGATCTTCCTGCATTCGGCATCATTGCATGTGTTTCATGAGTCTGAAAAGGACTTTATAGATTGGTGCCAGACATATGGGCTAATATTGGACTTATGGGCGTGGATGGGCCTGGGTTGGGATGTTTTCTTAATATACAATTACCCTTTATATAATGTACAATTACCCTTTATATAAAACTCCTTCTTATACACATATGTGTTTCTATGGATTTATTTCTCTAGTCTACCCAGATTAACACAAGGGACATGAAAGGACAACAGTTTGATGACATAGAAGAGGTGAAGAAGAAAACGAGGGAGGTGATGTCAAGCATCCAAACAGATGAGTTTGAAAAACGTTTCCAAGAATGGAATCGAAAATTTGACAAATGTATCAAGTGTAATGGAGAGTACTTTGAAAGTGATAAGGTTGTTTTGTAAAATTTTTTTAAATATATAGTTTAAAAAAATCAGGGTTTTGTGGGGGCTAGGGGTACACCCTCATATATACATACATGAATATTTTTTCTTCTTTCCTCTTTTTCCACCTGCCCACAATCATGTTTACTATCATTCACCTCTCTATAATTCTTCTCAGATACAATTTGATTGCTCGAACATGCCCAGAAAAGCTACACAGTCCTTGCCATCAATTTTAGAACCCTTACTATTCCCCTGCACCTGTCAGTATTGGCTCACTGCTCACCTCCTCCCACCATCTTTCCCCCCTATCCCCCACAGGAATCGTCAGTCCAGCTGTTGTCTTTGTAAGATTGCCTATCCTGCCTATCTTGTATAGATAAACACACACACACACACACACACACACACACACGGAACATACAGATAGTCACCAGTCTAACAGGAATCATGCCATAGTGCAGATGAATATCTCTCTGCTAAATAGAGAGAAGGACATGTTATAAACCACCAGCCCAGTCCTCATTTCTTTCAGGGCTACATATCCAGGGTCCCGCTTATCTAGCAATACATACCCCTGTTTAGTCTTCATTCTTTGTGTCTGAAAGGCCAACATCCTAAAAGTCCCCTTTGCTATTCCCGCAGTCAGGGTTGGAGCGGTCCTGTGTCCCACCCCCAGTTAAACCTTTAGGGCTTTTACTGTGGGCCCCTGTGAGGAACCACCAGCAGATGGGGTGCTGCCCTGGGGTCGAGTCAGAAGTCTACCATCGAGATTCCGCGGCCATTTGGTGGCTCCGTCCCGTCATTGGTCTGGTGCATTTGCTCTTGGTTTGCTCCTATGTGGGCAGGTCAGACCAGCTGCTCTCCCCAACTCTCTCTTCAGGGCTGTCTGGTAATGAGGTAGCTTTTAATCAGCAGAAGTTGATATTCTTGCTTATGAAGACAATCCTCTTACTAAAATGACACATTCTCATGCCCAGCAACAAAGGTGGGGAATACTCAAGGTCAGAAACACGGAAATGTAAGTGCTTGTCTGCTTTTACAATTTAGCACCATTGTGGGGGAAGTAATTATCTCTTAAATGTTAAGTTCAGAGTCCTGTCATCATCTGCTCTACAGTTTAGGAGGGTAATAACATTTTAAAGCCTGATAAGCCCCTTGTACGCCAATGGTTATCATAACTAAATTAGGTTATCACATGAAAATATAGGCATCAAAAGAGGAAGTCGGGGGAAAGATACTGCTTTCATGAAAATATACTATCGAGCGACAAATACATGGCGTAGTACCAGTGTAGGCCTCATCGATTCCTTCCTTCCTTCTGTGTTTTCTGCATGTTTTCATCTTTCGATTCAGCTTTGTAACCTTGGATGTTCCCACCAAGAAGTAAAATGTGTTATTTAAAGTAATATGGAAGCCCACAATATACCACCCTACCTGAATATATCAGTATTTTTAATGACCACTTAATCATCGGATGAAAGACAGCTATTGTGATCGACTTGTGATTTAATAGGAGTCGCTGGATAGTGAGAATAAGCAACACATTCAGCTGCTATCTGAGAAACTGTTTGTTCAGGTCTCCTGAAAGGCACCTTGTAAAAAGACCTGGCTGTCTACTTCCAAAAGATTATAGGCATGGAAGCTCTTCGGAATATAATTCTACTCTGAACATACGAGGTGGCCATTGGTCAGTATTGGCTTTACAGAAACTGCTTGGGAGTATGAGAAGATACAGAGCCTCCAAGTTTGACATTGGACAAGATCTCGTGGTATGGAGGCACGGGTGGACAACGTACCTCTGCTTTGGCACCGGGTCTTTACCCTCCCCGATACGTCTCTAACTGATCACAGGACCTATTATCCTGTGAGTCCCTGAGATTGCTGTCTCCGCGATGGAGGTCAACCCGAACTTTTCTGTTTCCACATCTGAGCTTGGGCAGGATGAGAAGAGAATATTGAGTAATAATTAATGAAAAGGAAACACAGGAACCTAAGCATCAAGGCATAGGCGGGACACTAGTACTTAGATTCATGGCACCCTAGGGTTAGTTTTTCTATGTTTAGCAACTTTAATCTCCTTTGTCTTTGCAACTGAGATTTTGCCCAGATAACGAAGAGTGTCTCTTTCATATATTTCCTGCGTTGATGTGGATTTTCCCATGCGAAAGGAGGGAGCGGACTCTGAAGCCGGTTAGATGCAAAGGGATCTGAAGACCGATCCCATGCTATGAAAGAATAGCTTATTTCAGGTGGCAAGGGTTTATCTGTCAATTCCATTTACTCCCACCCAACTCACTGGGGAATATTGAAGATCTTGATGCACTCTCGGGAGATAAAAGGATATGTAATTGACACGAAATATACCAAACAAAATATATAGCTTAAACAGAAAGTACTGTTTTAGTTCCCTAAACCAAACAACCCACTGCTTTTGATTTTCTCTCATAGTATTGCCCTAGAGGGCTTCCACAAGGTGTCATCTTTTGGGGTGCAGACTACCACATCTATACCGCATCTGTATCCCGTGGCATCACCAGTGTATTCCAAACCTTTGACTTTTGGGTTAGCACGTGAGCCCTTAATTACTACAATGCCAGGGCTCCTTAGCTACCGTGTTATTGTCAGGTATCATCACATAAATTTCAAACTCAGAGCGAGCCTGTTTGCACAGAGGGAAACACTGCCCCGGCTCGTGTCAGCCTTAACATTGTTATGTCTGGGTGCATTGTTGCGGCCCCTGGGCTGACCCATTTCATCGGGAGTCTTCCTCGTTTTCTTGCTGATCCTCTACGTAATGAGGACTGATGGCTTTTTCCAGGGCTGGGGTTCCTCGTGAAAACAGGGCCAAAGTACATGAGATGAAGTCTTGCTAGCTTCTCTTCTAAGAAGCATTCTGGCTGTCCTTTCAGGAACATTTTGTTTGTTCTTCGGGCAATACATGGTACTTTCAATATTCTTCACAATACCACAATTCAAAGCCTTCGATGTGAGGGAATTAAAAATACCACAGCTTGGATCAGGGACTGTAAATGTCAGAGTCATATCTTTGATCGTTAACACATTGCTCTTTGAGACTTGAAAGGTGTCTCGTGCAGCAGATTTGCCCGGTGCAATAGGTGATTTGGGTTCTTGGCAGCTGCTTACATGAGCTTTGATTACAGGTCCCAGGAAAATGGCAATTTCAGTCTTAGCTACCTAGTGAAAACTAACCTCCGTTGAGTCAGTGCTGATTCATAGTGAACACATAGAAGGTAGAACTGCCCCTGACGTTTTCAGGAGTGTAACCACTAGGCCACCAGGGCTACTTAGTGTCACTGAAATGGAAATGTCACAAAGTAGGGGACTATCAATCCAAAGCAGGTTCGGGATCCTGTTGTTCTGTCCGTAGGCCACTTTCCTGGTCTCTGGAGTTCCCTGGTTAGTCTTCGGCGTGCCTTGGTTTTCAGATGGGTCTTCCCCTGTGTATGCTTCTGCATCTGTTTTATTTCATTAATATGATGCCACTCAGAAATGATTAGATTTGGACTTCCTCTACTATGTCTTTATTAGTATAGCAAAAGAAAGCTCATATTGAAGAGCAAGAACTTATTTATAAGTATAGGGGATTATGACTTCCAAACATTGAGAACATTTTGGGTAGCACAATTCAATCCATAACAACCACCAATATTTAATCTCCAGTATTTCCGTTTTCCATTGGTGCCATGGCACATGTATACCCAATTCACTGGCAAACCCAAGTCTGTTTTGATGTAAATTTGTAAGATGAGCATTAGAAAACATTTTTTAAGTTTTCCTCACTACTGCCTTTTATTATCACTCAATCTTGATTTGTCTTTGTAGACTTGGAAATAGTATGTATAGTCTTAGAATTAAAAGCTACAGAAGTCAAACAATGTACTGTGACAATGAAGAAGAATGGTGTTGACATGTCAGTTGCTATAATAAATGCATTTGTGGCAGGTTTTGGAGCATCTGGGAATGGTGATGATAATTGTGGTCAGAAATTTAGTGAGAGTTGGCTGCGTGGCTCTTTAATCTTTTCTGGTGGACATTCTTCATCCAGTATTATCACGTCCGCATCATCTTTGGAGTTTTACAACAGCTCCAAGATTGACTGCCCCTCGAGTTACACTCATCTTACACAAGTCAAGTACGCATTTGCAGCTAGGAATAACGCCCTAGATGGTATCAAAGTACTAATGGTAGTCTTCACCTTGCCTTTCCTTTAAGATTTCAAAAAGGCTATGTATGTGTTCTCATTTGAATCATTAGCAAAGTTATAGGAATCCCCTTTTGGATTTGGCCCCCCTAAATCATCACCAGCTTCTCCATCTCATAGGTAGACACTTGTCTCTTCTTTGTTCACCAATCTCTTCTTTAACATCCCATACTTACCCTTAATGCTTGTTCTTATGATTGAATGAGACACTCCTTCTTCGTGTGCTATTTTGCCAGCTTTCTCTCCATTATTCCATAACTCAGTTCTCGTCATTAGTATTTCAGTATCTAGAGTCTTCTTCGCAATATCTTTTGTATTGAATCTAAAGTGGCCTTGTTAGACTTTCAGTGGCATTGCTTTCGCTAGACATATTGTTGGGGATGTAAGCAGCAGATGTTAGAGAAACTTAACTTGGGTTAAAATTAACAACTGCTCCTTCTGTACATAATGACTCTGGACACGACTTTACATAGACAAGAGCATGACCTACTACTATATGGCGATGGTTTGAATGATGTCATTGTTGTTAGGTGCTATCAAGTCTATTCTGACTCATAGCAACCACATGTGCAAGAGAATGAAACAATGTGCAGTTCTGTTTTAAATAGTAAATTATAACATTAGGCCTTTGCAAATGAACATCTGAGAATTATAGCACATTCAAAATATATACAACCACAATGTATGGTCTTAATATAAACCCTATTCATTGTATTTTATTTGATCTTGTGCTACACACAAACACACATACACACAGGCAATTTAATGGATAGAGGAGCACTGGCTATTTTACCCTATGGGTGAGATATAATCATAAACTGATCTAATAGATATTTAATGGACTGTATCTTCAATTAGTGAACAATTAAGAATTTTAGTGATAGAATAACTGTTTTTCACTGCTTTCAGAGTATAATAGAAATTGTGAAGAATTAACTTATAATTAAATGTTTTATATTTAAATATTGTTTGTATTGAAATATTGCTTATGTTTACTTAATTTTTATATAAATATCACTTGTTTTTATGCTACATTTTTTAAAGTTATTTAAATTCAGTAGTGGGTTTTGAAACTTCTGGAAAAAAATAGTGTGTAAAGCTACTGGATTTTCCCAAAGGCAATTATCTTTTTTCATAACACCATTTGAAAGCAAAAGAGATTTGCATGTTTCAAGGAAGATAAAAATGATATCAACAAATAAGAACAAAGGTTTGCAAGGTGCTTTCATAAAGGCAAACGGTTTTATGCAAATGGATAAGGCAAACCTCTACATTAACAAGCAGCATTGTCTATATATTTGCTGAAAAACATGTATTGAAATGCACAGCGTTGCTAGACAACACATGGCATTGCCATATTGTTGTCAAAATCTGAGGTATAGTTTTGTTAAGAGTTTGCTCTCCGGCTATGACTTTACTATTTCTCCATGATATAGTAGTTGTTCAGTGGTTATATGACTGTAATCTGAGCTCCAGTATTTGCATCTACATTACAGTCCACAGAGGGAAGGATGATTCTTATTAGTGAAATGCTTAAAATTTCTCAAACTCATGATACACGCTAGAGAAGGAAGAATACTTCAGAGATTCTTCCTTGTTCTGTAGCGGGTTTCTTGGTTATGAGAAGTCTTAAGTTCTGATATTGACCCGCTTAGACGTATTTGTGATCCCTTCTCCTTTCGTGTTTACATCTGAAGATGTTTGGGTGAAATTGATGGGTGGAAAGAGAGGATCTCTCACACAACTCAGGAAGTATGATTGATCACGACGAGCCTTTGGAAAACTCTTCTTTTCTGCCAATATATTTCATTTATACCCCAAGTTACAGGAATATGTTTACCTTCCACACATGTTGGCCACGAGAGGAGGGAGCTGTTTAGACTCAACAATTGAGCTCATTAATTAAAATGGTATAATAGATCTTGGACATGTTTAAATTGAACTTCCGGACAAAGAGGAAGTGACCTCAAGCATATTTGGCCGAGCGATATGTGCGAAGCTCTCCAGCTGTGCGGTTTGGGGCGGAAGTCCGACAACCGGGGAACATGCTGCTTTCAGCTTGCTGCCGCCTGGTCCTCTCCTGCCGATTGCCGTAGCAGCTCAATGGAAACCTAGACCTGAATGGTCTTCTCAAATGTCAGCATCTTTCGTTTACCATATTGTTTTTTTAAAGTCAAGGGTCCAACATTGTAATGCCTTCTCCAATTTTTATGCTTTCAAAAGTGTGTTTGAGTTGGTGGGTTCTAGCCACATGAAAGTGCTGATAAATCATAACCTTGTCTCATAGTTAGTGATTAAACATTTTCTTGCTTGTATTTATTGGTTTATTGATCTGAAATCCGGGGCTTTATATTCCTCCAAATCTTTTTACCGCCAACAATCAAACCCAAACTCAAACTCACAGCCTAGGCAGTCAATTCTGACTCACAGTGACCCTTTAGGGAAGGGTAGAATTGCCACTGAGCGTTTCTCTTTCGAAGAGTTGATAGCCTCTTCTTTCACATACAGAGCAGCTGGTGGTTTCAAACTACTGTCCTTCCAGTTAGCAGCCCAACGCATAAATCATTATGCCCACAGAGCCCCTAGCTTTGCTATATAATTATATAGTAGAATAATACAGGAAAAATAACAATACTATTTCATTGAGTTATTTTACCTATTAAAGAAATAATATTTAGGGGATTCATCATAGACCAAGCACACTTCACTACCCAAACCAAATGGTATCAGAACGTAAGCTCCACAATGACTGGGATCATAGATTCCTTGGTACATGGAAAAACAAAACAAAACAACTAAAGTCAAGCCGGTTCCAGCACACAGAAACCCAGTGTGCTAGAGAGTAGAACTCCATGGGTTTTCTTGGCTGCCATTTTAATAGAAGCAGGTCCCCGCATGTTTTCTTCTGGTACAGGGCTGCTTGAGTTCGAACTGCCGACATTTAGATTTGTAGTGGAGCATACATGGTTGTGCCACTTAGGGACTCAGCATATGGTACGTTGTCAAGTGGTTCTTAAAAGTTGTTCTAGCCTGTGCTTGCTTCGGCAGCACATATACTAAAAAAGAAAAAAAAAGTTGTTCTAGCCCTCCCCTTGCCATTTAAAGATACATTAGAATGTGCATATGAGACACATAATAAGGGGTTTGTCACCACAGAGCTGATTCAATTGGAATCACATTTCAGACGTGTATGAGGAAGCACATTATTGGTCTATTGGAGAATTCTTGGGAAACTGACTCTTCTGAAAGGCTAAAGGCTCTTCGTCCCGTCCTTTGCAGGCATCCTGTTCTCCCTGGTGGTGGTGCTCTATGTCATCTGGGTCCAGGCTGTGGCAGACATGGAAAGCTACACAGACATGAAGCTGAAGAGCTGCTTGGATTTTACCCCTTCTGTTCTGTATGGCTGGTCATTTTTTTTGGCCCCAGCTGGGATATTTTTTGCTTTGCTAGCTGGGTTGCTGTTTCTCGTTGTGGGTCACCATATTCAGACTCACCACTAATGAAATGATCATTACCAACAGCATTGTCTTGAGAAAGTTTAAAACAGAACAGGCTTTTTCCTCCTCCTTCTTTTGTGTGTGTGTGTGTGTGTGTGTGTGTGTGTGTTTGTGTTTCCTTGATCCCAAGATAGAGTACATTGCTATAATTTGGGGGCTGCTACTTGGATTCATCATTTTACTTATGATTTCCTCAAGAAGAAGGTCCTAGAATCTCTCCAGTTACCAGTAGGTTTCCATAATCCCTAAGTGCCAACAAGGATCTGGATTTTTTTAAGAAGCAAGTAGCAGGGACCTCCCCTTAATTAGAGGTTGTCAGGGCCAGATAATTAGTGTAATACAATCACATGAGGGAAAACTTTGATTGTGTGCATAGCTACTCTGTGTATTGATAAAAAAAATAATCTTTGGGGAATAATTAAGAATGGAAAGCAAATGTTGCCAGTGTGATTTAATTCATTTCTTCTCCACACCATACACATCTACAGCCATGTTGACTGAATTCTGTGAGCAAATAAATGTATTGTTGAGAAATAGACTGCTGTGCAAATTCGTCAGTTAACATGGGCCACAACAGATGATGCTCAGGAAGAATATGCGCTTTTATGATTTTTCTTTTCTATCAGCAGTGTTTTCAATACTAATATTCACTTAATTATTGTGCATGTATGTGTACATGAGCCTTAAACTTTAGTTATAAGTACAAATCTACACAATGATGTTATCTACAATATAGTTTGGATTTTTAGGCATTTGCAATGGATTAATTATATATGTGTATATATAATATGATTTAAAGATATAAAAAAACCAATCACATCAGCTGAGTATGGAATTCTATTTGGTATTTTAAAATTCTTGTATAAAAGATGTATTGCTAAGACGCACAGCCTGTGAAAATTTATTGATGAAATGTGCTTTTCATATCCATGAGCTCTAAACTTTCCAAATACTTCCATATGAGGAATACCATAGCCTTTTCCAAGATTTCATGGGTTTCAGTGTCTCTGATCATTTGATCCTCTTAATTATGGCCCCTCAATTCTTCATCATTGCAATAAGTAGATTAGCATTTACCAATCTGCTGTATCCTTTAACCTCATCAGGGAGGGAAAACATTTTTTGTGTGTGTGAGGGAAAATTATTATTATTAACTAGTGTAGACATTTCGCATATCAAAGTTATAATTTTGGCACGCATTTTCTGGAAATCAAATCCATCTGGGAAGCCGAGGCAGTATTTGCAGTTTGGATGCCTCCATCTAGGAGTTTGGTGTGGTGGAAGGAAGCGGGAAATGGCCTCCAAGCTTGTTCCATCTACGGCATTCCATTCCACAGCTGTTACAAATATGCAGGGTATGACTTAGAGGCAAAGAGTGACCACCTAGAAGATGCTGTGGGATGAGTAACTGTTGCTTCCAATCCAGTTGTTTCTGGGATGTAGAGATTACCCGAGCCTTTGCTGTAACTCTTGTATTTTGTAACTGAGCTTTTTTTTTTTTTTTTTTACATCAGCGGAAGTATTGGAGAAATAACAAATGTTTGTGGTATCTCCAGAATCCTGAAGCTATTTTCGTGATAGGACGTGCCTGTAAAGCAAAGCCTTATGTACATATATATATATACATATACACACACACACTAAGCAAAATGGCTTCAAGAGTTTACCTGGTTTCATAAGCCATTTCAATTATATAGTAAATGTTTTTTGTATGGAATTTTCCTTTGTCTTTTCTGTTTCATTTTTATATCGTTTCATTTACTTCTTTGCTTTTGGCTTGATTATTAGAAAAATACTTATGGGTTCTGTTGTGCATATTGACTGTGATGTGAAGTTACGGCATGCCATGAGGTTTTCCAGCTGCTGTTGCTGCGTGTCTTTGATCAGCGCATGTCACCTGTAAATGCAATTCTTTCTGTAGAACTTTGGGATGGAGCCTCTTTCTGGTGTGCTCCATGTCATTTAAATTCCACATACAAGCTGCTTTTAATAAGATTTGACTATTCATAAATGTCAGATGGTTATCCTCACTTTCTAAAATATGTAAGCAGCTACCATACTTATCCATCTACCATACTTTTATCCATCTACCATACTTATCCATCTGCCATACTTATCCATCTACCAAACATATCCATCTACCATACTTATCCACTAACATACTTATCCATCTAACATACTTATCCATCAAAAGGCAGTTGGCTGAAGCTCGGATGGGTATGTCACTTCTACACAGATCCACACTTGGGCCATATCTTATAGTTACAATGCCTCAATCACATTACTTTCAAACTCATTTTTGGATCTACTGACCAGTAGTCCTCACAAGGAGTGAAGGTGAGTCGTACTTGCTACATCAATCAATAAAGCATGCTTCAGAAGAGCAGAGATCTACTATATAGTGTTGTGATCGCCTTTTATGTGATTTGAGATAGTATGTTTCCTTTTATTTCTTCTTCCCTGACTTAATTACTCTTCAGCAGTCTCTGAGCAAAGTGCTAAAATCTTATTTTGAGTGTTGATTTTGAGTTGCAAACTTTCAATTTAGTAAATAAGAGACCTTCTTATGACACTTTAAAAAGGACTGAATGAAGCAGGCAGTGCATTTTGGCCTGGAACTGTGAGGAAAGCTGTCATTTCTGTGGTTACAGCCGTCCTATTGGCTTAGTGGACTGGAGACACGGAGGAGATTTAATGAAAGTGTTCAATTTGGAGTTGAAGCAGAACCTTAAAAAAAAAAAGGATAAAACAGTATTGATGCATTTTACTAGTCACTGATGACATTAATTGATGAACTACATGTACTGAATTTGAACATCAAATCTACTTGTAAAGGTATATGATAGAGTTGTCTTGATATTAGATTCTATCAATTAAAATGTGTTGATTTCCACCATTTACCACTTACTTCAGGTACAAAAAAGTAAAGTGCTAAATGGTAGAAATCAATAAATTTTAAACAAATATTTAAAATATAATTTTCCCCTGTGGAAAAGTGACATAGTTTGGTTTACCTGAGACAGTTCAAATGTTTAACTTTATTAAAAACCATCAGAACACACACATATTTTACTTTGACCTCCGTGGAAGTGACCGAATCATCCACACAGAGAGATGCTTTAGAGGAACTAGACACTTAGTTAAAAGAAGTTAGACATCAGTCTGCAGACGGTTTAACTCTGTCTCAGAATTTGAGTCTAAACAGTTCTGTGGGGAAAGACACACGGACAGAAGAGGATGTGTTTGATCTGACTTTAGTGAGACTCCACCAGTGTTGGGGCTTGCATATTTTAAAACAAGGAGAGAGAGAAAAGGTATAGAAAACATTTTGTTGTTGTTGTTTAATGTAGGGGCACATTTCCTCAGTGATGCTTGTTTGTGGAAAAAATCCCAGCATAAATTTTTGATGATAAGATCTTAAATACTTTAAAAATAGAGGTCATGAGAAATATTTAACATCTTATATGCAGGGGCTTTGATAACTGTTCTCTGAACTTTCTGAAGCTTCTGCATGTATTCTAATACAAATAATGTAGGTAAAGAAAAATTTAATCTGGTTAACAGGAAGGAGAAAAGAAAGTACAATATTTAGTTAGAGCATAGAGCTTTTAAATTTTCTTACCTAGGCAAATGTTAGGAACTCTTATCAAAGGAATAATTAGCATCAGTCTAGACCACACTGTAAAGGTGTGAAGTGTTAGAACAAATCAAGGCCTGCTCAGGCTTTTGATTGGTTATTTCCCCAGCCTAGAATCTAGCTATCACTGTGAAAAACCAAACAGGCAGTTACTAGGTTAAGCTTTGCACAGCAATACTCTTCTGAATATAGAGAGCTATATGATATCCAATAATTATATTCTGCTATTTGTAAATTGCGTCTAACTTTCTAAACTATGATTTTAAAACATCTGTCAGTTAAGTGTTGGACTACTAAACACAAGTTCAGTGGTTCAACCCCCACTAGCCGCTGTGCAAGAGAAATATGGAGCTCTCTGCTTCATAATCTCAGAAATCATATATAGAGCGGTTGTGAGTCAGAATGGGTTTGATGGCATTTGGTTTTGGTATTTTAGTGTGTGTGTGTGTACACACACATACACACATACATTAGAATAATTCTGAGTTCTTTGAGTAATGATAGGTTTTCTGGTTCACACAAATGACAAGGGCAGTCTAAATTGTCTTTATTAAATAAATGTGGTTGAAGTAATGGACATCCTACATTAACAAGAAGGATTATGAAGATGATTTAGGGAAAAGGATACATGAGGATAAAATAAGTGAAAATAAGTCTGCATGCAGCAAAAATGTTAATATCCTTTTTCTCCCACTAGCCTAGGAGTTATTGTGACATAAGTCACTGAAAATGTAGGACAGCCCTCCTATTTTGTGAAAATTTCTTTTTTTCAGCAGCTCTTTTCCCATTAATTCCAAAAGAGAATGCCACTGATAAAAGAAAAGTCAATCCACAATCTTGGCATGGGAAACCTTCTAGCCACCCAGGTCTTTAATCCACGCAGCTTAAAATGTGGATTATATATAAAACAATATCTGTTGATACAGAGATTAGTGAGAAGAGAGTTTTGACATATTATCTCCCCCCTCACTCTGACTCCACTCCCAAAAGAACAGAAGAATTTAATCGGTGTATGTAAATCTCAAGAGAGATTTCAAGTGGGAAGTTGGAGTTCCTTGTATGTGTTTGTATGTTTTTGAATAAACCTGTATATAAACACATATGTGCACATATACTTATTTTATATGTGTTAGTATATATGTATGAATTACACAGATATTTATGAGGGGGCTTCAAAAAGATCATGGAAAATGGAATAGAAAGAAAATGGTATTTTTCCACAATTTTTGTAGTCTTCTCATATGAGAAGGAATGTGGCATCAGGATTGGAGGAAGGCTTATTAACAACCTTTTTTTGATGAATTAAAGTACTTACTGATGAAGATCAATGATTACCACCTTCGATATGGATTACAACTAAATGTAAAGAAGCCAACATTTTCACAAGTGGCCCAATAGCTAACAACATGATCAATGGAGGAAAGGTTGAAGTCATC